TTATCTTTCAGATATCGTAAGACTTTCTGGACGGTTGTCCTCCCTTCTTCCATTTACAAACGAATGTGGCAAAATCGGAACGCGTCACAGACGTTCAATATGGTTTCGCGAAAAGCCAGCCGAAAAAGTGTTCTCAGTCCGGAAAGGTGAAGATTTTACTGTAAAAAGCTCAACGAGAAAGGGCAATGCTTAAGTCGAATTTACAAAGCTATTGTACTTTATGCAAAATAGTCGGAACCCAACAGCTTTGGCACAAATTTATCCACATAATTTTCAGACAAAACCGTGACTACACTCTTTTACCGACCACAGAGTTGCAATGTCCATCGACGCCTGGCTCACTCCGATCGAATACTGATTCGTCTAGTTCTCCAAAAATCGAGCACTTATAAGCCTGTCAGTGTTAGATCTCGAAATTTCTTTGTCCATAATTGTATTGCATCCAAGCTTCGCTAAATGATTTCTTGATTTTCTAACAATCCAAATTCATAAGCTACCCTAGTTATTGTATAGTTTTTTTTTATTAATAAGTCAGTTTAAGTTAGAGTCTAGATTTCAATGCAAACTTTTTATTCTTATCTGGTCCAAACCTCGTGTGTCACTTTACGGGTTTCTCATTGTTGTTTTTTTTTTTTCGATTTTTTTTACTTGTTTGGTTAATTGATTTGAATACGTGTACTTTCTCTTGATGCATAAATTTCTTTTTGAAAATTACATTTAACAACAAAAAAACAGATAGAAATTGTGATGTGCAAACCAATTTAGCAAACAACAACTCACAATCAACATTTGTACCAATAAAATTGAAGAAAATTTGATGAATTCTTCAATTCACTTCAATTTTTGAGTGAATCCTGAGATTTCACTTGTATTCAAATGGCCGAATCCGTAAACGATCTCTCGGCTAAACACCTCACCTTTCTCGACACGAATTGATGGGAATTTTGGCTAAGAAATTATTTATTTGGACTACAGTAAATGGGAATTTGAAAAGTCACCTCATTAACAGCATTCGTGTACCCTTGACATTCGATGGCTATACCCGAGTTTGGCTTGTAGATTTTACCACCTTTTCCCTGAAAGAGATTGAAATTTAAGTGATTTGGCTTTACTTGATTGGCTTTACTTGATTGGTTTTACTTGATTGGTTTTACTTGATTGGCTTTACTTGATTCCCCCCCCCCCGAAGAATCTATTTTCAGAGATCTATTTTTAACATCTTACCATCGTGCTCGTCACATATTCCCCAGCGTAAACGTGAGCAATCGGATAATTCGTCAACATCTCCATCATGATTCCCGACTTCTCCGAGGCAAGCCTGCAAAATCGATTCGCTTACACATAAAGATTATACAGACTAGTGAACTTACAATATATTGACAGATCTCTGATGTTTAACATCACTCAGAATATAATCATTATCGACTCGTCCAATCCCATCACTTTCCAAAAGAGTGCCCAACTTTTTAGCGCTTCGAAAATCGAACTTTGTTCCCTCGACAGATAGGATTTCTCCTAGAAAGATCAAACTTTACAACAGTATACCATATTTTCTGTGCATAAACGCTAGGAATCAGAATCCTAACCTGTTGGAACCTTTGTTGCATCTGTGGGTAGATACGAGTCAGCACGAATCTCCAATAGATGCTCATTGATTGTTTCCTGAAACGAAATACTCCGCTTATAAGTACTTTATGCGATTAGTTATCTGAAATAAGTCTTTTTTTAATGTACTTTCTGATTAAAATCTGTACTTTCTCCTTGTGATTAAAGCGCAAAGCTCACTCACATCTCCATCGAGATTCCAATAGGTGTGATTCGTCAAGTTGAGCACGGAGTCCTCAGTGCAAATCCCAGTGTACTCAATTATCAACTGGTTCATGTCATTCAATGTATAGGTGCACTGGAAATTGTTTTTCTTTGATATCTTTGATATTTTTGATATTTTTGATATCTTTAATATCTTTAATATCTTTGACATCTTTAATATCTTTGATATCTTTAATATCTTTAATATCTTTAATATCGTTGTATCTTTAATATATCGTTGTATCTTTCATAATTATAAAAAGCTTTCAAAATGATTTTTTTGATAGATCATTAATGCCAATCATAATGGACAAAGTGAAGAAGAGCCGAAAGATCTCTGCTCACTCACATCAATCTTCGCATCACCCGGATACCCATCCTCATCGTTTTTCATAATCACTCGAAAGGTGACCGAAGTGTCCGACCGACGAGCCACTTCCCAATCTCTCTAAAAATCACTTTCTGTGATTTAAATTGATCCTAAAGATATTTGACAAAGAAATGAAATGTACAAGAGATAAGCTGAGAAAACAGACACAATATTACTCAATTCTCACCAATCCACACCCTTTCCCTCCACCATGCAAATGGTTTGGCTCTCGATTTATGTCCAACTGATAAAACCGTCCGTTCAACTCGAAACGTCCATTCCGAATTCGATTGCAAACCCGGCCAACCGTTTGCCCCATGAAGAAACGATCGGCTAGGTAACCTAAAATCGATTGGGTAATGGGAATGTTTTGATTTGTAACTGACCCTCTAAATTATCGAAACCGAGCGTCAAATCCCTTACATGTCCGTCACGATCCGGGAAATGGACACTCTGCAGAATTGCTCCTCTCGACATGACAACGACACGTAATCCTTTCTCGTTAATCAACTCGATTATCGACATTTCTAAGTAATAAAGTAGTAAAGATAGTATTTTGAAAGTAAAAGAAATAAAAGAAATAAACACAGTTATCTAAATCAATAAAATTCATTTAATAGATTAACATTTAAATATTTAAAATAAAGAAAATTATAGAAAATTGAGTTTGGAATGTGTTGAGCAGATCATTTAAAGATTTAGATGAGGAAATTGTTGAGAGAAAAAAGCATAGAAACAATTGAAGATTTTTTTGCTAATAGCAATCATATAAAAAGATACATTGAAAATCGATCATTTTTGGTAATAAAAAATAAAATTGTATTAAAGATTTAAAAGCCATTTTCAAAAGCTGAGAAATAAATCAAAAAATATTGTGCTATTGATTTATTTTCCCGCAAAAAGTACACTTGTTTTTATTATTTTGTCTGTGTGTGAATACTTTCTGCAGTCTGCAGAGAGTGTTCCAATTTTTCTTCTTGCTTTTCTTCTTTCTTTTCCTCTTGCTTTTCCTCTTGCATTTCTTCTTTCTTTTCTTTCTTTTCCTCTTTCTTTTTCTTCTTTCTTTTCTTCTTTCTCTCTTCTCCCCTTTTTCGTAGAAAGAGATAGGAAATCCTCCAATTGATAGGAAATCAGAGAAAAGAGTAAACAAAATGTTCGCCTTGTCCGATTGCTTAGTTTGATTGTTGGCAATTTGTGAAAATGCATAGTACTAGCAATTTAACAGCACTGAAAAGGAATTTTACTTTAAGAATTTACTCAAGCAGATCACTGTTGAAATAGATCACTTACGGGAGCCGAAAATCAAAGTTAAGCCAATTAAATCCGAGTTCAAATTGATAGAACTCATGAAAATGAATAGCTGCAATCGATTCGTCGACCTCGAAAACCCCCGGGAAAAATTTGCAGCTAAATTTCTTCTTTCTATACCATTTACAAAGGAAAAGAAGAATCTCTTTGTGACTGACGAAATGTTCTTTGTGCGCGAGCACAATCGCTCTCCATCTGGCAAACCGCCCTGGTATAAGCTTAGAGAATCCCTGAAAGATCAGACAACTTCTTATCATCCTTTACCCTTCCTCCTTTTTGTCTAACATCATCTGGAAATCAGTTTTTCTCCCCAACCGTTCGACCCGTGCGCAATACATAAACCAATTACAGACGGGGAAACGAAAAGAAAAACGGGGGACATTCAATTTGTAGGCAAAAATTGGACCCATTTCTTCTCAAGCGTTTACTAATAAAAGAAAAGTCCCGATTTTTAATCCCAATCCCGGAAAACAACGCTTTCTGAACTCAAATTTTAATCAATATTTGTTCTTTTATTTTGAAACTTTTGAAGTGTTCATCCCTTGAAATCCATTCTCGAAAACTATCATAATTTTATCTCTATTTTTTTTTACCTAATCTATCCTATCCATCTATTCTTTGTGCGCGAGCACAATCGCGCTCCATCTGGCAAACCATCCTGGTATGTGGTGAGGAATAGCTTCCTAATTAGCTTCCTCCTCTTTCTAACATCATATTCAAATAAAGCCTCTATATCTCTCGATATCGTTTCTAAATCCACACAGAATTCGACCAAAATGTAAATAGTTTTTTGGCTAAATAGAGATACGATTGTTTTAAGTTTTAAGGAAAACAATAGTCTTTTAAAAGAGTTTTTAAAAAACAATAGCCTCTAAAGATGATGGTTATCGTAGGTTTTTAAACCAATTTTTATCTTTTATCTTTTATCTTTTATCTTTTATCTTTTCTCCAAAACACAATCACCTATGACATTGGCATTTTTTTCTTTCTTTCTTTCTTTCTTTCATTCACTCCTAGAAAACCCATTCAAAATTATTTCCCTGAATCACATTTTTTTTGAAAGCATTCTATGAGATTTTGATTCCTTCGAAAATTTCCACTACATCGCCTTCATTCTCCTTCTTTTTTTACAATTTCCTCTTCCCCCCCTCGACACGCGATTTTTGTAGGAAAAAAAATCTCCTTGAACACCCAATAATTTATGATTTTTTTTCTTGGCCAATTCCGTTTCTAATCTTTTAAGATCAACGCTATTTCTTTGAAAATTACCTTTTTTTTATCTTTAGCGCTAAATTTGCGACTTTTCGGGTGACCCCAGCAACGAGAACAGGTGCAAAAATGGCCCAAATAGGTCGGTGATTTTGGAAAACTTCTACGAGTTGATCGCTTTTTTTCTCTACTATCATAAGCTTTTGTGAAAACCAGCTTTAACAAGTTCAACATTTCAACATTTTCATTTTAGACTTTGATCACTTGATGACTTTTTGAGAAACTAACGTTTGCTTTGAAGAGAATGGGCGGCTTCCAATCGCAACAATCCGATCGTGAGTGTTTGGCAAAGCTGGTTAAACTTAAAAAAAAAAAAAACGGAATTTGGAGTATACTATAGTTCTATCTTGATTGGAAGCAGTACTGTACCAGGGTGGTTTGATTTTACTGTTCTCCTAACCTGGAAAAGGATTTACTGATGGTCTGAAGTCAAGTCAGTCCCGAAGTGAAGCTAAGCTCAGATCGACTTTTGTGCCAGAGCCATTCTTTTGCTTAATTTTAGCGGAGAATGAGGCCGGTTTTGGGCGTCGTCAAGAAGATCGTTTAATGTACAAATTGGTGGATATGCACGGTGGAGGGGAGCTGATCGCGTGGATGAGGTGGGCGGGAATGGTTAGAATGAAAGTAATTATCTTATTTTAGATACGCTGGTCGTTACGGGGATTACTCGATGGTTGAGGGGTATTTCGATTCAAAAGTGAGTGATTACGGAGCTTTATTTAAAAAACTACCGTCACATCTTTCTAAGCTCCCAATTACCGTAACTGTTTACGGTAACGAATGCCGTAAATACTGTAATAGTACCCCACTCCCATAATGACGGTGCGGAGTGTTGGGTAGTCTAGCTTTGAACGAGTTTTTCTCGACACTGGTTTATGCTACAATGCTCGCTTTGGTATCAAAAAATAGCCCTGAATTTCAGCTATTTTTTGATACCAAAGATGCATTTTTTGAAAGTACGGGCGCTTTGAAAAAAATGAAATACTAAAAAACTTTTGCGACTACGCGACTGTACGAGGGCGGTGGGGTACTATTACAGTATTTACGGTAGGAATTTGATTGCGGGTTACGGTCAAGCTTTAGAGCGTTTACCGTAAATACTTTTATAGAAGCCTCCATAAAGGACGTCGCGTAGTCGTAGTTTGCACTTAAAGAAGCGCTTATATCTCGACATCAGTACGTTTGTTTTTGCGCGCTTGGGTATCAAATTAAAGTAGAGAGGATGGGGTTTTTTTTGAGATATAACACATATTTTTAGCATTAACTAGCGCTTAGAAAAGAATCATTGAAAAGTGGCAAAAAAAAAAGCCGAAAAGCCGATTTTATCATTTTTAAAGAAAAGTTCAGGTTAGCGAGAGCATGTACAACCAGGGAAAGGGGAAGATCATGTCGATAAACGAGTTGGTCAAAATACGAAATCAGGTAAGACTGTTTATTTTATAATTTCAAACAAAATGTTTTCTAGGAACGAAACGACTATTGGCAACGCCTTTTAGCGAAACGACAAAACGGAAAAACGGCACCGAATCTTCTCGATCATTTCAATCAAGAGGGAAATAATACGGGTGATGTGCAAAAAGGTTTTTAAAAAGCTTTAAACCCTCATAAAAAGTGATCTTGATTTTAAGCGCTGAAACTTTTGGATGGTGGCGGAAAGAAAGGGAAAAACGAGTCAAAGTACCGGGATGTTGTGTGGAAATTCGAGGAAAGGGGTGAGCGTAAAGATTTTTCAGAAATTCTCTACACTTTCTCACTTTACTTTGATCAATTTTATGGTTCTTTTTGCCTAATCACTGTTATCAGTCTAGTTTAAAGACTTTAACATCCACCAACCTCTATCAATATCATTTTAGGCAGTATGGGTGAGACTCTAATGGGCGTCGCTCTACTCACCACCACTCCCGCTCATCACTCGCTCGTCGTGCGTCTAGCCAACGAGTTCCCGAAACTCGTCAACGACTATTGTATCTCGGAAGATTATTACGGTAATTAAAATATTAAATATCATGATTTGATTTCTTTTTTCAGGAATGTCCCCACTCCATCAAGCGATCATCAACGAAGACTGTCACATGGCGCACATTTTACTCAAGAAAGGAGCCAATGTGCATACTAGGTTTGAATAAAGAAACGATTTATTTCAACATTTTTTTTTTGAAGATGTTATGGAGCATTTTTCTGTGCTGAGGATCAGCGGAGCCATCGCGGAGACATCCCCGACGAGGAGTCGGTTCAATTGCCCATTCGAACCAATTACACTGGGTAGGTTTGATTAGATTGATGGAAAAGAAATCGAGATTTACAGTCGAATGTACTTTGGTGAGTACCCATTGTCGTTTGCAGCCTGTATGAATGAGGAGGATTGCTTTCGATTGTTGATCGCTTACAAGGTTTATAAGCTTTATTTTTCGAGTGTACTTTCTGCTCCTTAGAAATTCGAAAACACACTTCATATCTAGTGCCTCAAAATTTCTAGCAACGATTACAGCTTGAATTACATAATGTTGTTTTAGGCCAATCCGAACAATCAGGATTGCAATGGGAACACCGTACTTCACATGTGCGTCATTCACGAGAATCTGGTGAGATTTTATCATGAGAAAAAGTCAAAATACTTCATTTAGTTTTTTAAATTTCATTTATTCAATTCCTTGATTCTTTCTCTAGAAAATGTTACGTCTTGCCGTCGACAAGGGAGCGAAACTCTCGATCGTCAATCGACAACAACTCTCCCCATTGACACTTGCAGCAAAGCTAGCGAAACGCGAGATGTTTGTCGAGATTTTGGGCATGGAAGCCGATGTCATTTGGTCGTATGCCGATGCATCACAGGTATTACATTCAAAAGAATAAAAATACTCTAAACTCTTTCTTTCTAGACCGCCTACCCGTTAGCCAAAATCGACACGATCAATGAAGAAAACGGGGAACTCAATGAGCAAAGCGCGCTCTCTTTGATCGTTTATGGGGTCAGCTACCATTTATTAAAGATAAATTCAACAATGATCACTTGCAATACTTTTTCCAGGGGTCAACAGAGCACTTGGAGCTGCTCGACGGCCTCTTGGAAAGCATTATCGAAAGCAAATGGGCGGCTTATGGAAGGAAGAGGTTATTTGGAATAAATTTCCATACTAAAATCAAGCTTTTCTTTGATTTTTCAAAAAACAACAAAACTATTTGCGTTCGGGGGGAATCGAACCCCCGTCGAATGCTTGGAAGGCATCCATGCTAACCATTACACCACGAACGCACATCACCGTCTCTACAAGAAGCCCCCTAAAGACTCTCCCCTCGAATTTCCAGATGGATCATCTCGTTCTTGAGCTTTGTTGTTTACTATATTTTCTTCGTTGTTGCTTTCATTTTACGGCCCATCAGCATGACCACAGAGGTGAGAAAATCTATGAAAAAAAATTAAATGAGTCAATACAGAAAAGATATTTAGTTAACAGTAAATAAACCTCATTTTTAATCCCTTTTCCAGGCAATCACCAAACACAACATCTGCGAGTCGGGCTTGCCGAGTCAAAACACATCGTGGTGGACGAAACTCGATCCGGACGATAATTGGAATGAGAAATTCGATGAACTCGGCTTTGTGGTCGCTTTCAATGAAGGATGTCCGATCACGTTTCCTGGTGACAAATCGTGGTGTCATTTACGGGATTACAATAAAATGAGCTCGCGATATTTTGGATCCGGATGGGTGAGTGAGAAAGACAAGCAAATAGAGACAATAGAGTTGCTGCAACAAGTTTGTTTACGATTTTTGAAGCACAGCAAAGTACGCTCAACTAACTTTGCCTAGGCTCGACTCGGCTGTGAGGCTGTCGTTGTCGTTTGTGTCATCGCGCAAATCACCATGGATCTCATCGACATTCGCCGAATTGGACGACAAAAATGGATGGCACTTTTGGTAAACTGGCTTTATAAATCAATACTAACCAATCCACTTTTATAAGAGAGATGTGAGTCTGTCTGTTTGTCCGTCTGTTTGTCCGTCTGTCTGTCCGTCTGTCTGTTTGTCCGTCTGTTCAGCCCATATCTCACCAACGGTAGCTTGAACCCGATTAAAAATTTGGCATCAAACAATCAACTTTTTATTATCTTTAATATGGTTCATTTATTTCTTAATCCCTTCAGCCGTTTTTCTTGAAATTCAGAATTGTGACGTTTTGCGGTAGTTTTTCTTCAACACCCTGTATCTCTTTCCAGGAATAAGATTAAGAAAAGCTTTTTTTCGCAAAAAAGCCTAGTCTCTAGTTTAAAAAATAATTACATTTTTGAATTTTAAAAATCAAAAAAACTGAGCGCGAATCGAAGAAAAAAATGCTCTGTCGGGGTGGCCCCGAGTGATCTGAGGCGTCGGCTACCAATCGAGCGTTCGGAGACGGACATTTTTTTAAAAAAAGAGTTTCCATCATTTTAAAATTGTTATCATATCAGAGGTCGGGGCGTTGGCTAATCAAAGCCAACCTTAGATTAGCCAACGCCTAATGGCTTTGATTTATGTTTAAGAGATTCAAGTTAGGTAAAACCGCTGCTCAATTTCAGATTTTAGAAATCTTTCCCCGCCAAAATCATCTACAAGTTCTCCTTTCTGCTCATCCTGCTCGTGATCCCGGTGCGGTAGGTGTTTGAGTGTACTTTATGCTTTTAAAGCCGACCAAATACACACCCATCTGGCAGATTCGATTCTATTTTTGATCTACGTTAGACTAAATTGCATAATAAGCCAGAAAAGGTGTGTTTATGAGAGCATAAAGTACCCAGAGAACATTTCAGTACTCTGTGTTTTGTTGGTCCGGCAATGCTCGAGATCGACAACTACTTGTCGATCATCTCCGTTCTCTTCACCACTGTGCATTTTCTGTTTTATTGTCGGTGAGTGGAGTCGAGTTGCTTGAAATCCTCATTCACTTATTTCAGTGCCATCAAATTCATCGGTCCATTCGTCTTGATGATCTACACAATCATCAGGACGGACATCTTGCGTTTCGTCACCATTTACGTGATTTTCCTCTTCGGTTTCTCACAAGGTAAGTGTGCAATGATCACGTCACAAAAGCAAACCTAAAATTCAACTCTAATATCAATAATGATCAACTGTAAAGCTTTTGAAAACCCTTTACCCATTTTCATTTCATTTTCAGCTTTCTACATCACATTCAACTCGTGCGAGAAGTACAAGAATCAACTGATCGCATCTGGCGCCTCAGAGAATGAGTCGGATTGGGTCGATCAAGATGGACGGTGAGAATTGTTCGTCTTGATCGAGCTAGAACTAGAATTCAGTCTTCACATGGGAATCGCCGATTTCGACAATATCCTCGCCTCACCCCAGGAGTCTTTTATTCGAACGTTCATCATGACAATCGGTGAATTCATGAGTCTCTATCGTGAGCTTGCCACTTGTCAAGATCCAGTGATGACCGTGATGGGAAAGGTTTATGAGTAAAGCTGCTAAAAATTTCTAAATCTCATTTTTCTAGCTGTGTTTCATCGTTTTCGAGTTGCTCGTCTTCGTACTTCTCTTCAATTTGCTCATCGCTTGCCTCACGCGCACCTACGAGACGATTTTCAACACGAGAAAAGAGTACAAGAGACAGGTAAATAGGCATAGCCTACACTGTAAAGGTCTATTAAGTAGTAGGCTTTTAGCTTGATTGCTCATTATCATTATCATTAAGTGGGCTCAAGTAATCCTCTCGCTGGAGATGTCCCTTTCACCGCAGGAACGTCTCATTCACCTCCTCAAATACTCACGTCCCATCGGCACAAACAAACAACGACGCAGCTATGTAATCAACAAAAAGCTAAATGTTGGAAGAAACGTTTAAAATTGTGATAAGCCATATTAGGAAGACAACATGGAGAGCTACGAGAAGCGGGCACAAGACGAAAAGTCCAAGTCGATCGCTGAAGAAAAACGCTTTTTACAGAAGAGGAAACTCAAGGTGAGCGAGGGCATTGTGTTAAGCTCGTATTAGCCAGGCTAGCTCGAGGATTTCCGTTTACAAATAAGCTAAAAAGACCGCTTTCTAGTTGTCTAATGCTAATAAATAGGTTTTTAATTTTCAAGATCTAACAGATTGATCGATTTTTGCAGGACCTCGAGCTACGAGAGGGTCTCCGCCCGTTAACAGCTCTTATCCGCCCTGTGACCTCATACCTTTCGGGTTTGGGTCGACCGAAAACGAAAGCGGTGAAATCACACGAGAACCCGATGATCACTGTCTATGCAAAGAGGGCAATAAATAGGACGAATAATAAATGAATCGGAGCGGTAAACGGGCTTTTTGAATTAAAAATGACTTTTACTAACCAGTTTTTAGCTAGCCTTATTGAGCCTGTGTGGCCGTTTTAAACAGTTTTTGTAAATATCGTACACAATAAATGTGTCTTGAATGTATTTTCATCATTTAACACTGAAACTTTAGATCTAAATATTGGCTTTATCAAATACCCGTAAAATGAATAACAATGAAGAGTAACAAAATGAAGATATACACAAAAATCTTTCACCACATATCCTCCAAATCGATCGGTTTCATTTCTTTCTTCTTGAAAACTGCGAAATCCTTCTCCGAGAAGACCGACTTGTCCTTTGGCGTTGTTCGTTTCTGAAAAGAAAAAAACTTAAAGGAAATTTTGGTAAGCAAATACATAGTTTATTTGCAGCTTTTGGTAAGATAGTTTATTTAGTCTTTTCAGCTTTCTTGACTCATTAGACATTTTTTTCATTAGTAAACTCTTTCCCTTGCAAGCTACCTTTATTTCAAAGGTTTCAAATAAAATCACTTAGCCTAAATTTATATCCAATCTTGTTCATTGACCTCTTCTTCCATCTAAAAATATCACCCGAAAAATAATTTGTTCTTTCAAGTGTGGGGAAAGGCCGACAAGTTGTTTTGCTATTTTCTCAGTTTCTATGGGTGACGTCGTGGAATTCGTAGCGCTTCTACGAACAAACCAATAAAAATCTCAGAAAACAATCTCAAAGCTCAAAGTCAATAAATCTCGCCAACATGTTATTTTTATTTTCAAAGATGACCATTGACCATAAATTAGCTTACCCAAAGCAATATCCAGCTTGCGTTAGAAACACCTTATGCAAATAGAAAAATATCCGAATTAATCCCAAAACTCTAAAGTTATCTAAAACCAGGTAATTGTTGCATTCACCAAGCTGAAAAAAAGTAAGTTCAATTATGGACCTCCTACTTGACTTTTTGAGTTGTCAAGAACTCCAAAGAAACTCTGAAATGCCAAATTTGCAGCCCGGAAGTGCGTCACAACAATGCGTTTGTGCAGATGTGTGAAAAAACGCATAACCTAGTGAAAAGAAGTTGCCTAATTTGGAGCACGCCTCTTCATTTTTCTCTCTCTTTTATCTGTGGTGGGTCATTTTTTGGGTCCAAAAAGGTACAGCGTCCGGCTGCGAGCGGCTTCACGGGAAATTGGAGTGGGTTTCCGTGCAAATTGCAAACGAATGGAGCTAAATGGTTTTGCAAAAGTTTTCGGTGCAATCGCTTTAGATTTATCGCAAAAATTAACCGAAAAACAAAAACTTGTTCTCATTTTGGCTAAGTGAGCTAAGACGGAGGTTCTTGTGTTCCCCACTCACCCTATTTTTAAAAGAGAAAGCGGATCACTTAACCCTACTTGACAACAAACAAGTCCACCCTCTCTATCTAAATTGAAATCGCACTTTTCGTCTCAAAGCGAGCTGGGAGACAAATCATTCCCCGTAACTAAAGAATTTGTTCCAAAAACATGGTTTAAAGTTTCTTTTAGAAAAAGTTTACAGATTCCTTAAATTTTTCGATTCACCTAGGTGTCAAGCCAAAAAGTGTGCCTTTTTGCAAGTTTCCTCTCATCGACGACCCGGGTCGGGGGCAAAAACGCGTAAATTTATGTCACCCGAGTGCGCAGGTGGAGGTAATCGACCGGTGTCGAAGAATTTCCTGTGGCCCACCCTCGAAAAGACCCCTCCAGCAAAATACATGTAAAATCCCTGGACACTTATAAGGACTTTAGCTGTGAGCTGCATGTAAAACCCAGAAAGATTGCACACAAAATATCCTGAACATTACACATTACGTCATCGAGTAAATAACCCAAGTTTTTCTTTCTTTGGATATGCGTGTCTTTGTGTGAAACATAGATGGTGACGTTTTTTTGGCGATGAAAATGGGAGAAATCCCATGGGAACGAAATTTAATATCAGGAAGTTGGCGTGAATGTCAAGAAATTTTCAAATCCCTCTTGATCTTTTGTCTTTTAGTGTCCCAATGTTTGTTCCCAATAATGGGTGAGACCAGAGGGCAAAATGAAACACTGTACTTCATAAACTTCAAAAATAATTGCAGAATTTACCTTCTTGGAATCAACTCAAATTTTTGTTGTTGAATGAGCGATTGAAAATCCCAAGAGAATGATTGAAAGACAATAGTTTCCATTAGAGAAACACTGTACTACATAAACTTCAAAAATAATTGCAGAATTTACCTTCTTCTCTCGTTGTCCCGTGATTTTCTCGCGTTCTTGTCGTGCGATCGCAGCCGCCGACTCCTTGGCCATCATCTTTTCGGCGAGATCAGCCTAAAAATTCAACATTGATTTGATTTACAACAATTTTCAAGCAAAACTCCCAAAACACTCACATTTTTCATCGCCCGTTTCTGCACGTGTCTCAAGTAGCGCAAGTTTCGTTCGGCCAAATCCGCAGGCTTGTTGTTTCGCGTCTGTTCGATGAGAGAATAGCCCTGATGCAAAACAAAATTAAGAAGTTAAGGTGCTTCCCTACTTCTCTTGCCACTCGATTCACGTTGATTCGACTCTTCGGCATCGGCTTGCCCAAGTAACTCTCATCATCGGGCAGTTCGACCTGAAAAATTTCATGATTAGCATCAAATAACTGTCACAGCAACAGCTAATCATTTTACCTATGTTTCAAACATTAATTAAAGAGTAATGTCCAACTATAACTTGGACATTACTGAGTTCAAAACCATTACTTGTCCCTTCCCAGCGGCTCTCAACACAACTTTTGTGTTCTGTCGTGCTCGTTCGGCGCCGGTCGTTTTTCGCTTGATCTTCTTTGTGACGCCCTCTTCTAAAATAAAACGCCAATGCTATTTTACTTGTTAATCGTTCAATCATTAACTGTTTTCCATTCGCAAGCGAACCACCTACTAACCAACTTGTCTATTAAATTTGTTTAAACCGTTAGCTAGTTGAACGACACGTATTTTACGCCAAAAACGATAACGAACCGGTCTCGATTTCGTTAATGAATTTGTCCAATAATCTTTGCGCGCTTCCCTGTCCGGCCATTCAAATTCCTGAAATCATAAACGAATTAACCTTTTACTTTTTCTTGTTTTTCTCAGAGCCCCTTATCCATACAACATGTGAGTTCCAGAACAGAACAGAAAACCACGCCCCCGTCAAAAAAAGGAGAGCACAAAGCTAGACGAGACCCCGTGGGAGAACATTTTCGAGGTTCGAGATTCCGTACCCAAAACGATAATGATTTCATGGAAGTTTCTATTCGTTGCTCTGGTTTTACTCATTCTTAACGTTGATGCTGTAAACATCATGCGTGGATTCATCTATAGACAACCACCGCAAACGCATTATGTTCGGAATCTCCGGTGAGTTCAAGAATTTCTATGAAAAGCACAGCTTAAACTTGTTATCAAAAGTAGGATTTGAAAAATGAATCATTTTAGTTTTGATGCTCCCTCTCAATTCACCGACTACGACAATCTGGATCTTCAATAGGAAATACTTTTTCTTGGTGAATAAACCGTGTAATTGAAGTACTTTATTTCGCAAAAGATAACAATATTTATTTTAAAAATAGCAACAAATTACACTTTTTTTTATTGTTGTTGAGCGTTCGGGCCTAAAAGAAACTTGATTAAGCTAATTGGATTGACAAAAGCTACCTCGCTTTCTGCCGGGTCCAGCGAGCGCTACGTTCACGAATCGGCGGTTGTATTGAATACGACGGTGAGCACGTCCTAAACAAAACGATATTAATGTCATCCTTACAACTTTTGAATCTTCCAAGTGATTTGCAAAATCACTCACCGACTTTCTTCTTCTTCTTTTCTTGCTTCTCAACCTTTGGTGTTTGGGCACGCACTTTACCGGCACGAGCAAGCGATCCGTGGACCTTACCTGAATAAAAAAAAAATTATATGCGTGGTAAAGTTTGCACCGAATGTCATAGTAAAGCTTGATCAAAATTTAAGGAATGAGTCGAATTTACACTCTATGGCTTGGTAGCAAAATTTTCAGGGGTTTGCTCGAATTAGCTTGTTGACGTTGACAAAAACTTTTTTTGTAACATCGAAACTCTCCCGATCCCTTTTTAGACAAAATGGGCATAGCCATTAAATTAACACCCTCTTAAAATACAGCGCCTCGTTTACGCCCTCACCTCCGAGCAATCGTCCATTGATGGCAAGTGTAGCTCCATTGTTCAACTCCAGCGTCGACATAGTTTGCTCATCCTCCAAAATTGTTGATCCGTGCGACAAGATTTGCTCGTTGGCTCCAAGACGGGCCTAAAAGTAAAACATAAATTGTTTGAAAACTAAAGCTTGCCATCAAATTAGAATCTTATCAGCCCTCCTTCTAGCAATAGATTTAAGTTATCCGTTGATCAAAACCAAGTAATCTTTTGATGATCAAAGGCTTGACCATAATTACATAAGGCAATTTAATAGTCCAATTAAAAATTGATTTAAAATAGTGTTTTATTACGATGCAAGCTTACCTACTTACCGCATCCCCACTATTTATCTTGATATCAATACCAAAGCATACCTTGATCTGAGCAACGGTGGTGTCAGCAGTCACATCGAGTCCTTGGACGGCTCCATCGAGCGCACTCACGAAGATCTGCATGCTTCCAAGCGAGGTTTTTCTGAAAAAGGAAAATTGATGTCAGCATCTAAGCAACGACAGAAAATTGAAAAAATGGCATCAAAACGTACAAAAAGGTTAAAGTGCTATTAGTTTTACGGGATTTTGCAAGGAAAGCATCACTCATTCAGTAATGCAAGTAAAAACAAAGTAATGCCAGTTAATGAGCGGATGATTGACTGATCAACTCAAAGGATTTCAAAATTTTGCTCAAAATCTATCAATTTTCACGGAAACGCATCAAAATCAGACGAATTGGGCAGGAGAGCGCTACAAATTTGCAAACTTTATATAAAAAACCTTGAACGAGTGCTTTTTGAATAAAAAATCAACTAATTTCAAACTTTTTGATTAAAATCAACAAGTTTTTCACCGAAACGCTTCAAAACTAGACGAAATCAATGGGTAAATGGCTGCCTAACGCTAATAAACGCTCTAAACAGCAAAATTCGACAAAATCTCGCCTCAAACACATAAAAAGCAGTCTATTACGCAAAATCTTTCGGCAAATTGTGCAAATTTTTGGAAAAACTCGTCGCCGAGAGACGTGGTTACGGTAGAAAAGTGGTTGCGTCGCGAAAACGGCGGAGCGTAAGATAGAATTTCATTTTGTCACAAAAGTGAAGGTATTCAGCTAATGCGAGTGTGAATTTTCGATTTTTCACCGTTTTAAAGAATTTTTTCAATGATAACCGTTTTATTTCTCCGTGAGTTCGATGAACAAACAAAAAAAAGACAAAAAAATGACGATAAATGAGGGAAATTGCACAAAAAATGGCGATTTGGTGTTTTAAACAAAAATTTTTTTTTTTGCTTTAATTTTGCTTACAGCTTTGCTTTGCTTTTATGTCTAAGACCTTTGTTATAATATATCAAAAAAAGTACTGTAGACATTTAGGGATTTTGAAGGATAATCGTTTTTCTAAAGCAAGCAAGCTAACTTTAAGATTTACAATCATTTTCATAAAAAAATTTTTAAACAGCTTGTCGAAAAGCTATACAAGTAACAAGTCCTTTCGTCGTTTCACAGTATAAATTTGATGAGAAAACGTAAGAGAAATGCCCCCGACTGCACACAACATCAACATTTCCCCCAAATTTCTCTTCAGCCGCCGTGTTGATCTTCCGTTTTGAATCTGATGAGTTGTCGGAAATGTTCTGGAAATGAAAATGAAAATGATGCTACTGTATACTAGAGCAATTAAACATCAAGCACAGATCAAGTACTCCAGAAAGGATGTGTCGTTGAGCCAAATTACAATCACATTTGTCTATGATGATTGCACTTTCTACTATCGAACTCAAAAACGCACCCCGCCTGGCGCACTGAAGAGTACTAAACCTCTTCCACCTCTTCTCACCTCTTCCATCAACTTCTTTAACACTTGACTGTTACATTTAGGCAGCTCAGCGCCGCTTTGCGATTGCTTCGAAGCTTCGGTCTAAACGATAGTTTGAATTGTTTTTTTCACACATCCAAAATTAGATCCAGATATCTTGAATACTCTTGATTTGAATGTCTTAACTTTGCCCTTATCTTGAATACTCTTGATTTGAATGTCTTAACTTTTCCCCAAACCTGTCTCTTTGTCACTTGTGGATCCTCCTCTTCAGGTACTTCTCTGACCGTAATTTGTGGAGCGCGTCGAATGTCGGCTTTTCTCAAACCGTGCGTTAAATCAAGATCCTCTTCAACCTAAATATTTAAGCTAAAAAAAATATTTTGATTGAATTCTTTTGATTCTTCTTTGATTACCATTTTCTCAATTTCGACATCATCTCCCAAATGTTCGAAGACTTTCAATTGTTGAGAGTTTTCGATTGCTTGAGTGGGTTGACCGAGTCGAAGACCCGATGCAAAGGCTCTCTAAAAGGCATACTGTTTTGCATACTGTGATCTACAAATCTACACTCACCATCTCCAACTCATCAATCGGTTGATGGAAACGCTGTTGTTGTGGAGAAGTGTACTGTTGCTGCTGTTGATTGAGTTGATATTGATACGATGAATAATTTGGATAAGGATTTACTGCTTTAGACATTTCATAACCACCCATGCAACCATGTGGAGATGGGCAAAGGATCTAAAAAATGATTGAAGAATTAAGTGCACTAAAATGGAGATGTTTGCAAAAAGAACACAAACCAATAACTCACCATTGGGCATGTTCTGGCAGTAACTGGCTGGCAAGCGTATTGTGGACAATCACATGTGTGCCCCGGAATATATAAAGAAGCATGTAGTTGTAGAATAAGAAAAGCTGCAGAAAGTAGTTTCAACCACATGATGAATCTAAAATTGTAATCTTGACAAGAGTTGGTAATAAAGTCAATCAAAAAAGAGTTGATTTAAATTCAATTTTAAACAATATTGAGACAATTAAACAATACAATAAACAACAATACAAACAACAATACAAACAACAATACAAACAACAATACAAACAACAATACAAACAACAATACAAACAACAACAATACAAACAACAATACAAACAACAATACAAACAACAATACAAACAACAACAACAATTTAACAACAACAATTTAACAATATTTCTCATACAACAGTATGAGAAATCGAAGATGTAAGCAGTATTTTAACGGAATTTGATTGAAAATCATTTGAAAAAACGGTGAAAACAGCATTCTTAGAGGATAATTAGTGAGAAAAGAGCTAGAAAGACTCATTTTTTTCTTTTTTCTTTTTTGGGTAGTGAATTGAGAACTGGACTAGATATCTAGATATTGTGTGAGTGAAGTGAACGAATGACACTTTCACCATCCTTTCAAACCACTCCCAATTCTTCCCCCACATCGGTTTCCGCCTTTTTATGGACTCATTACACGGTGAGGTAACAATCAAAATTACTGAAACTTGAATAGGAAAGATAATATGTTGTTTAAATGTTGTTTAAAATCTAAAAAAACTATTCTTTTACTTGTACTACACACAAAGAATTTAAAGCGGAATAAAAAGAATAAAAAGAATAAAAAGAATAAAAAGAATAATAAGAATTCATTTCATTCATTCATGAAATGAATTTAGCTAAATAATGATTTCCAATAAGATTTCCAATAAGATTTTCAAATTTCTTAATAGCTCAAGATTTCAAAAGATTCTAAAATCCGGTTATAAAAAATGGTGAAACGCTAAAAATCAGATATCAAAATAATGAGGATCAGGAAGAGAGATTGGAAAAAAAGAAAAGACAAAAACCGGGATTTGTCTTGAAAGAAAGAAAGAAAGAAAGAAAGAAAGAAAGAAAAGAGATGAAAAGAGATGAGCTCGTTTTTGTTGATGAATCGCTTTGTCTCAAATATTTTACATCTACAATAAAAGAGACTTTTAGCTATGTGAAAAAGGATCGAAAGATGAGAATAAAATGAAGAATGAATGAAATTTCATCTTTCATCATACAATATCCAATTAAAGTTAAAAGCTAGATAAGCTTTAAAGAAGCTTTAAAGAAGCTTTAAACCTTTAAACCTTTAAAGCTGCTTTAAAGAAGCTTTAAAAAAGCTTTAAACCTTTAAATCCATTCAAATTTCACCTCATTCTCATTAAAATCAAATTTTCGTCTCCTCTAGTAACATAGGGATTCTTCTTTTGCTCATACAATTCGAGCAATGATTTTATTGAGTTTCGAATAAAGAAAAGCGGATAAAAAGCTTGAATTCTCCTCAAAACTTCTCAAAAAGCAACCAGACTCTCGATTTTTTTGACTCAAGAGTCTCTTCTTTCAAGATTTCCCTTCAACTTTCTCTCTTTTCATCAACATTCAGCATTTTCAACTTTAGGAATCTTGCTTGTTTAGGATTAAAACTCGATTGTAACCAAATTTCAAAGTATAAAAGAATTTGGTAGAGTCAGTATGCTAAAAAGAGACCGCAGCCATCTATAAAATAGCCTTGGCAGAGTCTTGGCAGAGTCTTGACAGAGTCTTGGCAGAGTCAGTATGCTAAAAAGAGACCGCAGCCATCTATAAAATAGTCTTGACAGAGTCTTGGCAGAGTCAGTATGCTAAAAAGAGACCGCAACCATCTATAAAATATTAGGTTGAAAAGAAAGTTCTCAGAAAAAGTTTGACTGGAATCTCTTAAAAAACGAATGCACTAATTGAAGAACATTTTCTTCTATTATTTTAAAAGTCGACTCCAAGAAATTACTCGTAAAAAAAATCGTACAGCTTTCCCTATAAAATTTTAGAGATTTTTGAACAAATGATTCTTTTCCATCTTAAATTCATCTCACTTTTTGCACGAGAAAAAAAAACGATTTCTTATGAAATAAAGCTAGCATAAATTTAGCAACACGCCGCTCTATAATCTCTTTTACAGAGAACATGCAGAGAACAATGAAAAAAAAATCATTTTTTAATGTCATCTTCTTTGGCACTGAGTGTTTACTAAAATAGATGATTCAAAAAAGTCAAAAGATTAGATCAAAATTTGCCTTAATCCATAAAGTTTCCCCTATTTTAAGTAATTGATTTTAGGTTTTTGAATGGAACAAATTGACTTATTCATTAACCCATTAAAAACTTGTCTAAAGGCTCACTCGTAAGGCTGCTCACTCGAAAAGTCATTCAAATCAAGTCATTCAAATCACTTCAGCTAAAGAAATCTCTTATTTTCTTTTTGTCAAAAGTTGGAAAGCTCAAAAAAAAAGCTGGAAAGAATTTGATGGATTGGTTTTTGAGAAATCACCGTGCAAACTTTTTCTATGAACTTGTCAAAGCTTGTCTTTCTTGTCAAACCTAATAAAAATTGAGATTTGATTGGATCATTTCGTTCAAATTCATAACAATAAACTTTTAATCCAAAGCTTCTTGATCTTCTTCAAACTTCAGAAAAACCTTTAAAACCACAGATCTCAAGCTCATTGAAGTCCTTTCAATCTAGCAAAATTTTAAGTACCCTCTTTCAGAGTGACATTAGTAGTTTGGTGGATTGTTTGACAGGGGATTTCAAGAGTTGTGCTTTCAAACATTGCTTTCAAACTCCAACTTGACATCCACGATGAGCGATTCGAGGGTTTTCAAGAAGGGATTTGAACATGCCAGTCCCTCACCCCCAAACACATAGCTGACCGGTTTAACCGTAAGTGGCTCGATGAATAGCCCAAAAAAAGAAACTCATCGACGGCAAATCCTGAAGTGTAAAGGTAGCCTCTTGCGCGTGCATTTTGTACTCCTTTCCCTCAATTTTCCAACCACCGGCACTATTGACTTTTGAGAGAGATTTGCATATTGTAAACTGCATATTGCAAAACTTTGCATTTATCTATTCTAAACCTGTTATTTGTTTTTTGTTTTTTATATCTTTTTAATTCAATTTTAGATTTTTCAAAGCTATGTGAAGACTCAAAAAAAAAAAATGCTTCAGTGTCAGGATTTTGGGTAAAAAGGTTTCCTGGTTTAAATATGAAAGATTTAGAATCGTGCTTGCGATTTTATTGTTTCAAATCGATTTTGTGAATGCTTGCATCAATTTGAGCAGTCTGATGGGTGGCGGGGCACGGGGAGGAGGTGGTTGTGGATGGTAAGTTCATCGATTTTCGATACAACATTCTTTCTAAACATTTATTTCGAAAGAAACCCGGTTCTGGTCTATCTTCTTTGCTAACTTATCAAATAGAGTAGTATTTTAATATAGTATTTTAGCTCAAGTAGTAGCAGTGCTCCATCACCGTCGTGTGGAGGCTCAAATGGAGGCTCGAGTGGTGGGTATGCAGTGCCGCCACCTCCACCACCTCCACCACTCCCATCACCCACCTCGTACGCTGGTGTCCCGCCAGCCGACTACAAATCAGTGCCAGCACAAGGAAACTATTTAAAGTATGATTTCATTTCAACACTAAGAAATCTCTTTTCTAGTAGACCACCTGAGCCTGGCTCCTATGTGGCTCACGATTTCTCCTCACCCATCCAACAGATCACTCACCAAATCGTTCAGAACATACCGGCGAGTAAACGTATGATGTTTTACTTACAATTTACAAGTAGTATGCTAGAAAGGGTGCGTTTTCAAATGAAACTTTGTGCAAACTCTTGATTACTTTTAGCTTTCCCCCCGCCACCTCCATTCTCCCCACCAACGATCGCGTCAAATACCGGCCAATATCAACAACCGCAACAGCCACCTCCATTTCAACCACCTCAACCACCCCAACCACCCCAACCTCCTCCGCAAATCCACGAAACGATTCACTACCCGGCTCAGCAACCCGTAGTAAGTTAAGACTTTAAAGTTTTCAGTACTTTCAGTTTTATAATCGATTTTAGAAAACTTTCCAAACACCGGCTCAAGTAATGCCCTCTGGCTACGATCAGGAGGAAAATGATGAGCTAGAGGAGGTGATCAATGCAGTGGATAAAGGATATCAAATGGTTTATTGCATAAGCTACCATCACCGTAATCCTATCATATCTAGGGCTCATCCCAGCCTCATCTCCAACCCCCACCCCGCACACCGTCACCCCCAACAGCATCCACTGGCTACTATTCATCAGTGCGCAACTCAGTGCCTCGGGAACAACGTATTAAATCGTACAAGGCCTCTGTGCAGGTTGTTTAAAGAGAAGAAAATTATAATTATTATAATTGATAAGCTTTTAGGTAAAAACTTCTCACTATCATATGCCTGTGGAGCAGGGAGCTGATTTGGCTGAGTATGAAGGTATGAAAAGAAAGCTTTCTCTCAAAACTAACTTTAGAACCAGATGAGGCAGTTGAGGCAGTTGAGTTAATCAATGAACCTCAAGAGAAACCTGTGAAGCAAATTTTCTCACAAGCTGGATATGATGAGTGCGTTCATTTCTTCTTTATAAATAAATTTTCGATTTCAGAGAACCCGATGTGGCTGTGAAAATGGAGCTGGTAAAAGAGCAAGAGGCGATCGATCAATCAATGAACCATCTCGATCAAATGCGGTAAGTTTGATTCAAAAAGTGAAAAAAAAGGGAATTTCTTTACAGCTTTTCGATAAAGTATTTATTTGAATTTGAATTTAATTTAATTAGAAATTCTAATTAGAAATCCTCTTTTCAGTGAAAGCGATTACGATCTGGAGGAAGAGCTCTCAAAGTATGAGACATCACCTCGTATTCTTCCACATAAACCTTTCCCCACTCCTCCATCAGTTTCCCGATCTTTTTCATCATCAATCAATCCTCCTCTTCCCAGTATTCTTCCTCATCCAATTCTACGAAAATTCGAAAAAGTTTGTCCTTTTATCTAATAAGCTAAAATTGTACTGTAGTAGTAACTTAGTTTACAGCTTTTTAGATGAGTTTTTAGACTTATTGACTGTAGAATGACTCAAATAGACTGTAGAATGACTGAAATAGACTGTAGAATGACTGAAATAGACTGTAGAATGACTCAAATAGACTGTAGAATGACTGAAATAGACTGTAGAATGACTCAAATAGACTGTAGAATGACTGAAATAGACTGTAGAATGACTCAAATAGACTGTAGAATGACTCAAATAGACTGTAGAATGACTCAAATTGACTGTAGAATGACTCAAATTGACTGTAGAATGACTCAAATTGACTGTAGAATGACTCAAATAGACTGTAGAATGACTCAAATTGACTGTAGAATGACTCAAATTGACTGTAGAATGACTCAAATTGACTGTAGAATGACTCAAATAGACTGTAGAATGACTCAAAGCAGACTTATTGACTGTAGAATGACTGAAATAGACTGTAGAATGACTGTAGAATGAAATCAACCCATAAAACAACCCTTTCTATAGCTCGATATCCAATTTTTTCAGGTAGATATCTACACTGGCCCCATTGAGACAACAACCATCTCAATCAGTACAACCATCACAACCACCGTTGTACCCCCATGGAAACCAACAGGCTCCAGAACCACCGAATCCGTCACCCCACCGCCAATTCTCGTCGACCCATTCGTGAAGCACTCGTTTACTGATAGCTCTACTCTTTCCACTAAAGCAACAATGAATGAAGAACCATCAACAGTAGTCATCGAACCGTCTACTATAGCTACCGTACACCAACCAGACCTAACAAAACCTGAGTATGATCAACAATCGTTACTACCTACTGTAGGTATTGTGCCACCGCTGGACCCAAATAAACCAGAATATGACCCGTATCAACCGTTTAATCCAACGAATTTCGACGCAGAAACAGGGGATTCAGGATTCGATGTAAACTTTCCGCCACAATCCTTTGAACATTCGGAATTGGAGGAATTCGCAGCGGTGACTTCAAAAGCTTTCGAGCCATCACATCCCGGGTTTGGGCCTCGAGATTATCCTTTATATCCGAACGATTTTTCTAAAAATGATCTTGGATATAAGTTTTTGAAAGATTCAGTGACGAAAAAACCAGAAAATGATGAGGAAACGAATCTCACGTATCGAGAAGCATTGATAAAGAAATTCTCGAAAAATTTAGGAAAAAAACGAAACTCAAGAATGTACAAATATACCCCACCGAAAGTGAATCTTCGAGAGAAAAAGTGGAAAGGAAAAGGCACATTGAAGAGGTTTATGGAGGAGAAATTCTGATTTCAACAAGCTTATTTAACAGCTGGCATTGCTGGCAGATAGGCATTGCTTTTGAGTTGAGTTTTTAGCTTTCTATTGTACATTTAATCTAGACTAACCACCAAGAATCGAGCTTGAGCTTAAGTTGACAGTTGACAGTTGACAGTTGACAGTTGACAGTTGCCAGTTGACAGTTGGCAGTTGACAGTTGGCAGTTGCCAGTTGACAGTTGGCAGTTGACAGTTGACAGTTGGCAGTTGCCAGTTGACAGTTGACAGTTGACAGTTGACAGTTGACAGTTGGCTGTTGAGCTGCTTTCGATGTGCTTTATTGATAGGAAATTGATCTAATTTTCTTTACAGTAAAGTAATCTCGTCTTTATTTCATTCTAAGATGTCGCTAAGCAGACTTTTATTCTACTTAGTGTGATTGTTTGTTTGTTTCACATGTCTATAGGAATTCTTTTCTTTTAGACGGGTTCGTCGCTTGATATTATTCACAACTATCATTATACTTATTAAAAATAAAAGATATATTGAAACTTTATTCAAAAATCCTCCATTTCTTTGCCAATTTTCGCAATTTTCTCTTTAATTTGAGCTTTTTAAGAAGCGCTTGTCGATGGCGTTCTCTTGAATCACCTGCAATTTGAAATATATTAATTTGATGTCTATTTCTATTAATTTAAATCTATTGCTATTAATTTGAAGTCTATTAATATTAATTAGAAGTCTTGAAGTCTATTACCATTAATTTGAAGCCTATTTCTATTAATTTGAAATCTATTACTCTTAATTTGAAGTCTATTATCATTAATTTAAATCTATTACTATGAATTTGAAGTCTATTCCTATTAATTTGAAGCCTATTACTATTAATTTGAAGCCTATTACTATTAATTTGAAATCTATTACTATTATCTAATACTTTCTAAGAATTTGATGATTTTGGAAACTTTTTGATAGATAAAATACAAATTTGAAGAGAAAAAATGATTAAAGTTACCACAACTACTTACTTACCACAACCTCCAGCAGCTCCAACTGATCTGCCACCACCACCACTACCACCACCACCACCACCGCATCCACCCGAACCACACCCACCTAGGATTTTGAGAATTTTGATAATTGACTGATAATTGATAAACATTGCTATGTAAAGCTTCTATGAAATGTGCTTATCCACCTCCACACCCACTCTTGCCCATTCCACAAGACTCCGGTGCACCACAACAACATGGATATGATGCAAAAACGGGTGCTGGCTCAACTCCATTACAACCTAGAAAATAGCATTTTTTAAAGCACTTCATCCGTCCACAAATGTCCACAAATACAAGAAAAAAACGCCTCAAAAGTAAAACAAATATTGTAACTAAAAGAGAGAATTATATAATTTTTTTTTTTAAATTACCCTCAGCTGCGCACGGTGGACTTGGCTCGGGCAATGGTGGTGGCATGAAAGGAGGCGCTGTTGGGGGTGGATTACTGGAAAAATTTGATTGATTCTGAAATTTCAGAAATTTCCTTTTATACCATTGCATTGCTGAGAAGAGACATTGCTGGAGGGAATTCTCGAGGAAACACGAGAGAATTATCAAGAGAATCGGGAGAAACATAAGGAATAGTAGGAAAATTTGATGAATTTGATCAATTTGATGAATTAAATGCAATAGTTTAACTCGATTAGATATTAGATTTGAATAGAAATATGGGAAATTGTTTATCTAAAGCTTAGCTAAAGCCAATGAAGTGACACTGACCTTGTGAGGAGCTTGTCTTTGAGAAAAAGTGAAAGCAATATCAATCCATTTCTCTTTTTCTCTTATGATGTTTATTAAGTGAAAGTGTTTTTCTTTGTTTTTCTTTGTTTTTCTTTGTTTTTCTTTGCTTTTCTTTGCTTTTCTTTGCTTTTACAAGCATTTTGATTTGAATAGAAATATGAGAAATTGTTTATCTGATGCTTAGCTAAAGCCAATGAAGTGACACTGACCTTGTGAGGAGCTCTGATTAAAACTAACTTTGCTTTGATTAAAAGTAAAGACTTTGAATCGACTTTCATGTACAAACAAACTCGTAGCATTGTTTTTCTTTTTATTTATTTCTTTTTATTCTATCTAACAATGATGATGATGATGATCATAATTATTCTTTTATTTTATCATTTCATAAGGCATTTTAATTATATTTATTGATTATTTTGATTATTGTAGAATTTAATCCTTCATCACTTTAAATTCACTTCTAAATTTCAAGAATTTCAAGAATTTCATTTATTTTTATCTTTTTCTTTATCAATTTTGACAATTGCTTTCTTTTAGAATTCTGAAAAAATGGGAAACGAATTGGGAGCGCAAATTTCGGCAATGGTTTCGATGAGTGAAGAGGAAAGACTTTCATCTTACCGAAATAACTCAATTAAGTCAGTTAATAGATATTACAATTGTCTAATGATCTCTCTCATCTCCATTTCAAGCATCTCCAGTTAATAGATATTACAATAACTCGTTATCTAATGACCTCTCTGATCTCCATTTCAGCTCATCTCCATCTCAGCTCATCTCCATCTCAGCTCATCTCCATCTCAGCTCATCTCCATTCCAGCTCATCTCCATCACAGCTCATCTCCATTCCAGCTCATCTCCATCTCAGCTCATCTCCATTCCAGCTCATCTCGACCAATCCCCTTTCACCCTAAACGATTTCGAGAGGAAAAATGGTGAGTAATGAATTCGAATTCGAATCTTTTATCTTTCAAAGAACTCTCATCTGCACAATCACACAAAGAAAAAGAAAAACATTCGAATAAATCAAAAATTTCATTTATATTTCGAGATTTTCCACAAATTCGATCCATTCTTCATGAATGTTTGGCTTTTCGAAGGAAAAACTCCGATAATCCGACTCATAGCTCGCTAAAATATAAGCCAAAGTATGAGGATTTCCTAAAATTTCCTTTCTCCAAATCTCGTATTGTGTATGATTTCGATTGGGATTCGTTTCACCGTTTAGCAAACGCTCGAGAGCCTGAAATCATTGAGTTTTCACAAACAAGCAACAACACTATCAACTTTTAAACTCTTTAAACTCTTTAAAACGTCTCTTTCAACGTCTAAAGCTCATACTACAAATGGAAAATAATTGAAAATGAAAATAAGAATCTTATGATCTTTAAAATCTAAAATTTCATGTCTTTTTTTTTTTTCAAAAGAAAAATAAAGCTATTATTTACGAAGCTAATTAGTCTGATTTTTACCAGAAAGAAAGATAAATCTCTGTTCTGCATTCCACTTTTTAGCGCTTTTGAAAAGCTTTTGTTTTGGCAATTTTTCAAAGATTCAAAGAGAAGTAGTCTAAATTGTTAAATTGTTAAAAAGCAAAACTCGCTGAGAACTATGTTATTTGTAAAATCGATTTGAAATTAAAGAGAAGTAGTCAGAGATTCAAAGAGAAATAATCAAAATTGTTAAAAATCGTTTAATTATCAACTTTTTCAATGAAAAATTAGCATTAATTTTGTTTTTTTTATTTCCTCAATCGCGACTTATCGAAGCATATACATGTCGTAACCGTTTAACCAAATAAAGCATATATATGTCGTAACCGTTTACGAAATTTAGCCACTAACGAATGATTCGTTGACGGCTAGTGTTCAACCTATATCTATATTTATATTAATGGTTTTTAGATGAATAAATCATTTATATTAATGGCTTAATGGCATTTGTTCAATCTATGCAAAAAGATTTGTTCAAAAGTTCGAGAAAAAAGAAAATTTAAAATCGATTTTACGAATAAGGTAGCTTGCAAAAGTTTACATAATACACAATAAATACAAATAATGTCAGCGAGTTTCGCCTTTTAACAATTTAACAATTTAACAATTTTGATTATTTCTCTTTGAATCCCTGAACAATTGCCAAAACAATTGCCAAAACAAAAGCTTTGCAAAAAAAGCTGAAAAGTGGAATGAATCTTTCTCTCTGGAAAAAATTAGACTTATTTTAATAGCTTCTTTTATCTCATAAAAAAACTTGATATAAGTGATATATACTTGAAAAGTTAAACAATATCATTTAAAGGTAGGTTTTCATTCCAAAAAAACAAGCATACCGGATTCTCTCTGATAGTATCTAATGATTCTCCTAAATTCCTCGAAATCTCGAGAACCGCTTATCAGAACCTATCGATGTGGGGTCGGAAAATGTGGCTGACGATGAGATCTTGTCGGGGATTTGAGTGTTGGACTTCTGGGAGAGTTTGGGAACCGCCAAATAGTGATCAACTCGGCTCGACCACTACTATTAGAGAGAAGACGGTCATTTTGACCTTAGTAACATTGTCTTTTCCAATTCAACTAACTCGTTTCGAGTACTCGATCGGAATGCCGGCTTGATCGAAAATCTTCTGCATTTGTGCCATATTTAATAAACGATTCGGCGAATAATAAACGACTTCATAGAGATCTCGATTCAAACCGATATCACAATACCTAAAGTTTCAAAAGTTCTTTTTTCCTTTTTAAAGATTTAAAAACAAAACCCTCACCAAGTATGTGGCTCAAAATGGTGTTTAAATTGATTCAAATCATTTAATCCAATCGGTTCCCTCTCATACATCAACATCTCGTAGACAAGTTGTGCTGTCACGTGAATTGAATCCGTTCCCTGGCCGCAATTCTTGTACAAGCTGGAAACTCTTTTTGGGTAACAATGATTTGTTTTTTTTTCTTTTTTTCAATTTCCACATTTCTGTGCTATTTTTTTTCTCGAACTCACCCACAAACATAGCCAAACATTGACGTGAAACGATCGATCGGATCACGAACAACAATGAAATGAGTGGGCTCGCCCATTGAATCATCCCATTCATCATTCATTTCGTCAATCCAATCAAACCAAAGATGATTTTCGCAGAATCTATTTACTTCAAGCTTACAAAATTCAAAATAAAGAAAATAAACTGCTTTTTAATAGCATTCATCTTTGTTTATCTACTGTTTTAGTAAAACAATAGTTTAAAAAGATTTAGAGTTTGTAGATCTAGTAGTACAATAGCTGAACAAGATCTAGAGTTTGGAGATCTAGTAGAACAATAGCTGAACAAGATTTAGAGTTTGTAGACCTAGTAGTACAATAGCTGAACAAGATTTAGAGTTTGTAGACCTAGTAGTACAATAGCTGAACAAGATTTAGAATAAAACTTCCAATGAAATATAGCTATCAATTTGGAAAGAGATGTTGTTTTCTAGCTGTAAATGATCAAATCTTTTGACTGACTCATGAAATAGTTGATCATCTTGATGATTGTACGGTTTTCCAAGTTTCTTCCAAATGAGCGTTAACTCGCAAAGGATCTAAAAATGACGATTGACAGAAATTTAATCAAAAAACGTTTACCTGTTTCGTCATCCTTGACATATTTTTCGGGATTGATGCAAAGTGTAATTTGCCAACAATCTGTTGAAAATGAATATGTGGAAAAAAGAAAGATAAATAAAAGATAAATAAAAGATAAAGATAAAAGATAGAAAGATAGAAAGATAAACTTGCCAAGTATGAGCAATATGGATCACTTTTAATTGGCACCGGTTGAAGATCTGATTGATCATTGATAAAACTAAAATGGTAATGTTTAACGTCTCCATTTCCTCTTTTCTCAAGACAAATCAATCTCTAGAGAAATTCAATGCACTAGAATATCTTCGTTTACAGAGTTTTAAACATAAAGTACAAAAAGTACAAAAAGTACAAATGTTTACCGTTTAATCAAGTAAACGATTGGTGTCAAGGTGAAAATGATGAGAAATATCATCAATAGCAATGAGCGATACATTTTAGATTAGAAATCAATTCAAATTTCTCCTAGAAATCGAGATTTTAGAGATAGATTTTCGATAATAAACTTTTTCTTTTTCATTTTCATCTTTTTAATATATCTATTATTCAAATGTTGTTATTTTTTTAAACATTTTCCATCAAAACATTCATCTAGTTCAACTTTAAAGTTTGATCGGTTATTTTTGAATAAACAACATTATAAATCAAGCTCATTTTTTCCGCATAACAAAGCTAGAAGTTAAGCTAGATGCTAAGCTAGAAGCTAATCTAGAAGCTAAGCTAGATGCTAAGCTAAGCTAGAAGCTAATCTAGAAGCTAAGCTAGATGCTAAGCTAGAAGCTAATCTAGAAGCTAAGCTAGAAGCTAAGCTAGAAGCTAATCTAGAAGCTAAGCTAGATGCTAAGCTAGATGCTAATCCAGAAGCCAAGCCAAAAGCTAAGCTTTTGAGTCAGTCTTGATCACAAAAGTACTCAAGAAACCAGATTTAACATTGATCTAACCAATTCAAAACATTGCACAGATATGTTTTTATTAAATTTCCCTTTTTAATGTTGAAACTAGAATTTGAAATTGCAAATTCATCATTGTTCTAGCTATTGTAGATGAAATTAGACTATTTGTTCTTATTTTGACTAGCACCTTGGGCAGGAAACATCTTGAAACAATCGAAGAGTGTTCTTCGCCTGCTCTGCTCAACTCTTTGTGATCTAGATCTCTTTCTTGTGCTTTTCCTTTCCCTCTTGCTCATCCCCCATCCATTCTTTCTTCAATAGCTAGACCCCTCAGCTGCTGTAATCTGGGGAGGGGTGTCCCTCTCTCCATCATCCGATCCCCCACTCTTTCCCCCACTCGATTTCCTTCGTGTGTCCCACCTATCTCCTTGAGGATATATTTAGTAAATAAAGACTTTTTACTATTCTTTTGTTAATCCTTAAAAACTTAAAAACTATTTGATTTTTAATAGTGTAGCTAATTGTTTTTGTAGAACGATGCCACCCGATGGCGATGTACATCTCGTGCAGTCGGCTGTGCCAAGCGATGGGATTCCACCTGGTGAGTTTCACAGAATTCACAGAATTCACAGAACTTCGATTTTTTTGTATTATTAAATAATGTATTAGTCTAAAACCTTTAGGTTCCACTGATACGACAACGATTTCGACGATTGCTGTGAAAGCTGGCAACCATGCGACGATTGTCGTCGCGTTGCTTCGAGTAAGAAAGAAAAGTTTTGAGTTATTGAAATGATACTTATCAAATCAAATTTTGTAATAACTTTAAAGTGTGTAGAAAGGAAAGAAATGGGGGCAAGTTGAAGAGTGAAAAAGGGACAGTTGTCTCTCACTCCTACACTTAACCTCTCCCCCCCTTTAGATAATCTTAAAATCTCACTCACTCGGTCAATTAGTGTCTAGTTATTCAAGAGAAATTCAAGAAGAAATTCAAGAACTAGTGTAAAAATCTTAAAAATCATGCACTAAAGCTTTTAGTCAATGGGTTATGTTGAACTGCGAATCGATGAAATGCATCCGGGTTTACTAGCGATTGGAGCTGGAGTTGAAGAGACGAGAAATCTGCTGGCAATTCATGACGATGTGATGAATCGATTGAGAGTGAGAATTGAAAGAAAATGAAGATTTGATTGAAGCTTTTTCAAGCTTTACTGAAGCTTTTTCAAGCTTTACTGAAGCTTTTTCAAGCTTTACTGAAGCTTTTTCAAGCTTTACTGAAGCTTTTTCAAGCTTTACTGAAGCTTTTTCAAGCTTTACTGAAGCTTTTTCAAGCTTTACTGAAGCTTTTTCAAGCTTTACTGAAGCTTTTTCAAGCTTTACTGAAGCTTTTTCAAGCTTTACTGAAGCTTCTTCAAGCTCTGAAGCTCTTCAAGCTCTGAAGCTCTTCAAGCTCTGAAGCTCTTCAAGCTCTGAAGCTCTTCAAGCTCTGAAGCTCTTCAAGCTCTGAAGCTCTTCAAGCTCTGAAGCTCTTCAAGCTCTGAAGCTCTTCAAGCTCTGAAGCTCTTCAAGCTCTGAAGCTCTTCAAGCTCTTCAAGCTCTTGAAGCTCTTGAAGCTCTTGAAGCTCTAAGAAAAGAAAACCAATCAACTTACGATCTTCCAGGAAAAAGAAGATCAAGTAGAAGTGTTGTTGTCTCGAGCGGACAATCTCGCTCACGAGAAGGAGGATCCAAACGAGCAAATTGGTGAGTCAAGAGTAGCTGATCGTTTCTAAAATGCAAATTGCAGTCTACGAGGCGATGGCGAGATCGTTGAATGCAGCGTGGCGTGAGCTGTTGAAGCAGCTTCAGTTGAGGGGTTATTTACTCCAAGATTGCTACAAATTCTATTCCTTAGCGAATAAACATCAACAAGTAAAGAATAAATTTGTTATTTCGATATTCTTAAATTTTAGTTGATCAGCTTCTTGTCCCAAGGTGGCAACGGCGATGTTTTCAATGGTAAAATCTCAGCAATCTTTAAAATTCGTTAATTTTTTTAATACTATAATCTTATTTAAAGAGATTGAATAATATTTTTGATAATCTTTAAGAATCTTTAAGTTTTCTATCAAAATTTCTAGACCTTCTGGACATTACGGCTGAGGCGATTGACCTCGGCGCGTCAATCATCGCACAGGTTAGAGAAAATTCATCGTTTTCCATTTCTATCTTTACCTTTTTTTTTTAGGATATTAACAATTTCATATAAAAATATATTTCTTTATGTTACAGATTCGAACACTCGGCTTGATCAATGATAATGAGCATCGTCCAAAGGAGGTTCTCTTAGCATGTGAAGTCATCGAAAAGATTATGCTCAAGTGAGATTAAATTTTTTACATAAAACTTATCAAAAACTGATCAAAAACTGATCAAAAACCTATCAAAAAACATTTCATTTACAAATTTCCTTTTATTTTAAACAATTTAAACAATTTACAAATTGATCTTCGTTCTTTAGGATGGCTTTGGATTGGGAGCGAGTCGAGGCGACAAAGGAACACTTACAGACACAGGTTTCAACTTGAGAATTCGAGAGTTTTGGATTTGAAAAGATTTTAACATCTATATATCTATCTGCACTACTGGACAATGAAATAGCATATTTGAAAAACGATCGTCACTTTCGCGCGTCTGTAACTCCCTTGTCTTTACCGTATTTCTAAATATTAATATTACCATTGTGTAGCCCTTAAAGAGAGCTTTCAGAAAATGCATAACACTAATAGTTTAAACTCAAAGACAAGGGAGTTACAGACGCGCGAAAGAGACGATCGTTTTTCAAATATGATATTTCATTGTCCAGTACTGTATATCTACCTATATATATCTATATCATTTCAGCATATTCAGCAACAACAAAAAGCTCAACACGAAAGTCAACTCGAGGAAAACGCTTTCACACAGGTGAATGGAATGGAACAATCTTTTTTAAATAAACAAAAACAAACGAAACTAATCGTTTGACAGAAAATAACGACTATAACAATTGGCCAATCATTTCCAGATCGAAGATTGGGTGTCAAGAGCTGAGCGTCGCGTTGTTGCCGCAAACGATTTCGGTCTCTCCGTATTGCTCAACGAGGCGGCTGTGGGTTCTTGAGAAGAGAAAAATCGACTGAGATCAATATAGCGACTCTAGACTTTAAAAAAATGATCATCTCTTCTAGGAACAACAACATCGTCTTGATTCTCTGAATCAGATCGATTCAAAACGAGTGGAAACACTTCATCATCGGATCTCTGAACTTGTCGAACGCATTCACAAAAAGCTAAATGCCGCGCAGAGGATTCATCAGTTTTATGGAGCCGCCAATTCGGTAGGTTTTTAAATTCAGAAAAATTAAATTCTCATTTATTGCTTTTCTAGATGTCTGCTCAGTTGGAAATGATGGAACAAGATATGCGAAATGCGAACGCTGCAATGGCTGGTGAATTGGCTCCATTAGCCCGTCAAAAAGCATCAGTGGTCATCGGTGAAGGGAGGAATATATTGAGTAAGGGTTCTTGATTCTTACAAATTCTTAAACAACTACTTTAGCCAGTGAAAAGCTCACCTACGAGGAGCAGCGAACGATCCAAATGAGAGTGAACGAGTTGGAGACGAAATTAAAGAGATTGGAGGAGTTGGCTGAGCAGAGAATCCACGAGACACAGTTTAAGAGCAGTCAATTGGTGGGGAATGGGCTAAGAACAGTGAAACATTTGGGAAATCTCAAGAAAAGATCTGGAGATAGTGATACTTCTTCTGTAAAAGCGGTTGTTTCTAGGTGTCAACACTTTCTCAATGGCTTCAACAATCTGGCGAGCGTTTTATGACGGAAAGCGGTGATATGGGATCCACTCAGCATGATGGATCGCGTTTTATCGATTCTCACAGAGATTTTGCTCAAGAAATTATCGTGCGTTTAGCTAGAGAATCTATCTAGAATCTTTCTTAGAATCATTCATTTATGATCAATCATTTAGAATCAAGAGTCTTCTGTGCAAACAATGTACCAACAAGCCTCTCAACTAAACGAAACCGATCGACGAACGGTTCAAGAGTTTGAGAAACGGTAAGAATTGATTGATTGGTTG